CTCCTGAGGTTTATAAAAGTGCCTTTTAATTATCCTGGACCTGTAATTTTTTCAAAAAAAAAAGCCCATAACGAGCCTCATGATTTAAATGATGTCATAGAAAAGAAGTTACAACATTTACAAGAGCAGCACACACGTAGAAAATACACACAAAGGGAAGAGAAGGAAACATAAATAAATAAATATTAAATATAAATATTAAAAAAATATAAAAACATAAAAAGAAAAAAAAACCCCCCCCCCAAAACAAATAATAAATAAATAAAATATATATATACCCTCTAAAAAAAATAAAGTGGATTTTTCGAATTAAGCGAGGGTTACCTGAGGTGGTGAATTTTTTTTTTTTCAGTGAAATTTTACGCGAGATGGATAATGTCTCTGAAAAATCGCTGTTGCCGTCATCATCAGCAGCTCCCTCGTTCACATTTAAGTCTTTGCACGGCACACAGATTTCCTGCGGCATAACCGCGTGATTTCCTGCGGCATAACCGCGTAAATCTTCCTTAGACCTGTCACTGTTCATACGCAGACGAAGACATAAAAGAAAAAACAATACACAATGGCTTTCTACTCATAAAAGTGAAACAATGAGCTCTGGAAACATTGTGACAATGAACACGAGACACAATAGACAACTAGAAACCTTTAAAATAAATAGAAATAAAAGTCGTAATAATGATTTCTATTCCGCGGCGATCGCCGATCGGACACCACGTGTGCCGGGACAACAATATCCCGCCAATAGACGAAACCCTCACAGAGGATAAACCGAATCTTCCCAACATCTGGTGTTACGTCACTTTATTGTTACCTTCCCGCCGCATACGTCAAGTCACACGGAGGAAAGTGACGGCTGGAAGAGATAGCGGCGTGTCTGGGTACAAAGAAAGGCGCACAGAGGAAAAACACTTTTCTCTTACAGGATCTTCTACCAATTATGATATGTTTGGCCCATCAGCAGACGCATTTGAGATGATTTAATAGCGTTGTACCAGCTTCCTATTCAAAGTAGAGTAAAGTAGAGTGAAGAAGAGTGAAGTAGAGTTAGGAAGAGTGGAGTAGAGTAGGGTGGAGTGGAGTAGCGTAGGGTTGGGTGGACTGGAGTAGAGTAGAGAAAAGTAGAGTAGGGTGGAGTAGGGCAGGGTGGAGTGGAGTAGGGTAGGGTGGAGTAGGGCAGGGTGGAGTGGAGTAGGGTAGGGTGGAGTAGAGTAGAGTAGAGTGGAGTGGAGTAGAGTAGAGTAGAGTGGAGTAGAGTAGAGTGGAGTGGGGTAGGGTGGAGTAGGGCAGGGTGGAGTGGAGTAGAGTAGAGTGGAGTGGAGTAGAGTAGAGTGGAGTGGGGTAGGGTAGAGTAGAGTGGAGTGGAGTAGAGTAGAGTGGAGTGGGGTAGGGTGGAGTGGAGTAGAGTAGAGTGGAGTGGAGTAGAGTAGAGTGGAGTGGAGTGGAGTAGAGTGGGGTAGGGTGGAGTTGAGTAGAGTTAAGTGGAGTAGAGTGGAGTAGAGTAGAGTGGAGTGGAGTAGAGTAGAGTGGGGTAGGGTGGAGTGGAGTAGAGTGAAGTGGAGTAGAGTGGAGTGGAGTAGAGTAGAGTAGGGTAGGGTGGAGTGGAGGAGAGTAGAGTGGAGTAGAGTGGAGTAGGGTAGGGTGGAGTAGAGTAGAGTAGAGTAGAGTGGAGTTGAGTAGAGTAGGGTGGAGTGGAGTAGAGTGGAGTAGTGTGGAGTGGAGTAGAGTGGAGTAGGGTGGAGTGGAGTAGAGTAGAGTGGGGTAGGGTGGAGTGGAGTAGAGTGGGGTAGGGTGGAGTGGAGTAGAGCGAAGTGGAGTAGAGTGGAGTGGAGTAGAGTAGAGTGGGGTAGGGTGGAGTGGAGGAGAGTGGAGTGGGGTAGGGTGGAGTAGGGTAGAGTGGAGTGGGGTAGGGTGGAGTGGGGTAGGGTGGAGTGGGGTAGGGTGGAGTGGAGTAGGGT